GTGTAATTTTAGTGTAGATTATTCTATTGTTTGTCAAAAAAAAAAGAAAAGAAAAAAAGATATAGATAATTTGAGGTTAGTGTATTTCTGTTTGAGTAATTACAATTGAAATTGTGTGTTACTTGGTTGGAAGGGAAGGCTAAATAATCAAGGGGTTAACTGAGGAAGGTGTCAATTAATTGTAATTAATATGTAATTAAATTGTTAGCCGAACATGTGGGCGGCCCAGACATAGATTCACATCCCATAGTTTTTTATACTCGATTTTATATGTTTGCGTGACAAATTTGAACACAAATTTTGTTATCCACGAATCTTCAAGTTTTCTTTAATAATACATGGCATATAAAATTTAAGAGCTGTGAAAACCAAGTTTAGCGCTAAAAATTTATAGCATCGAGTGCTACGTAGCATTGAAACCACACATTCTGATCACAAGACAACACTTATGGCATATACCATCATCATCATGTACATGAATCCACATGGGAGTATTCTGAATCCTTAATCATGAAGGTGAGACATGCGTAACTTGATCTAATAAAACACCCACTTATATCATTATTTAAATTAGACCAGTTGGTGAGGGCAGGATCCTCGCTCTCTTATATCACATCTTTTTTTTTCTCGTAAATTAAATTAGTTTAAAAATATGGTAAAAAGGAAAATTAGACGGAATTAACGTCAGAGATGACATTGATGTGCAATGTAAGAAAATGCAGATGACATTGATCCACTTTAGAAAATAGGGGGCTTTAACAAAAAGCTTTTGGTACTGTTCACTTTAATGAAAAATCACATTTTCACACTAAAAAGTCAATCCTGATATTATTCACTTTACGACAACATAAGAAACGACAATGAAGCCCGTAATTTCTCGTTGTGATCCATACAGCAGCCCATCTTATGAGCCCACATGAATTACAAGTGTGGTCTGGGCCGACCATAAAAGCCCAGCAACATATAATATGGCTTTAAAGTCGCGTTGTGCGTTGATTGAGCGACCTGGCTAATCTCTCCATCATTTTCAAGTCAAAGGCATTAAAAAACAGAGCGATGGAGAGTTTTGACGCATCTTTTAACGATTCGGGTTTCAGGAGGTTAAGTGACGTAATTTGAGTTACAAGAGCAAGACTCGAATTGAGTTTCAAGATGCGTAAGTTTAAATAAAACAATTTATATAGAAATCGAGCCGTGATGATGACATGTACATTCACTCTCAATTGCAATATACAATGTCAAAGAGAAAAAAAACTGAATATACCACTAAACCAAGAATTAGCTGACACTAACTCTTGTCTTGACGACTTTAATCCCCACTTAAACACGTGTACACTTTATGGAATAATTTCAATCTAGATATATACATTCGACCAATTCTTGGCTACTCAAAGATGAGTAGAAATTTTTACTCAAAACTCTTAGTGTTTTAATCACAGAGTTTTGTGCATATGATCAGAACCGTTCATACTATGAATCATACTGTAAAGATCATCTTTGCAAAAAATAAATTAAAACTAAGGTTGTTTAGTCAATCTATTGTAGCAAATACATAGACGGTTCGTAATGCTTTTATCAATTCCATTCATTTGTTTTTAAACAGTTTGTTGACTAAACGACCTTAGTTTTAATTGTTTTTGCAGAGGCGATTTTTATAAGGTGATTTATAATATGAACGGTTCTGATTATAAACACGAAGTTCTATAAATTGGCAATGAACAATTTTGAAAAATTTTGAGTAAGAATTCTTACTCATATTTGAGTAGTCAAGTATTGTCCTATACATTCATGGAGGCAGATTCTCTGCCCTCCAACTTCTTGTGCCCCCGTGTGCTCTTCTGTTTGTATGGTCACGGTTAAGCCACGTCAACATTTTATATTACTATTCCTTTTTGTCTTATTATTTCTATAAAAAAATAATATAAAATATTAACATGGCTTAACCGTGACCACACAAAACATAAGAACACGAAAAGTAAGAGGGCAGAGAATCTACCCCATACATTCATAGCTCAGGAAAAACTCGCTGACACAATTACGGATTACCAGAAGCACCAAGAAGGAGTAAAGGGTCGGAGGGGACAGGAGTTTCCCAATTTGCACCAAACCATCAGATATGCCATAATTGCAAATAGGCCATGATTTCGACACGTTACCTTCGAATTTTATTGCCTCCCTTGGAAGCTCCTCCTCCGCAGGAGAAATGTATTTTGGTAGTGAAAAGAAAGTCTCACGCGCACAGGGCATGCAAATGCTCCATCATATGTTATATTTTTGAAGCCTCCACCAACATTATAATATAAGGGGAAAGAGTGGGTCAGACTGAAGAAGTAATATCACTCGATCATTATCAAATCGATCGCAATCTTATTCCGTCACTTTTTTAAGTTCGACTCAGTAGCACATGTGAATGCTATGTGCTTGCTCATAGGTAAAATCATGATGCATCGATATGAAAGATAATAGCACGTCGACCGTTATCAAAATGGTTGTGTATCGTATTGTGCTTATGGATTCTTCAATTGTTTGGACTGGAATTGAATCAACTTAGGCCATCTTGAACTGAAGGGGTTACGTTTAGCCCTCGTCTAGATTATAGCCCTATAAGAAATTATTTTTTAATAAACAATGTCAGACTGTATCTATATACAATCTCCAACTGAAAGGGGCTATTTTCCATTTCCTTAAATAATTTCTTATTTTAAGTTTGTTCTTTAATTTCATCTGTTAATTGAATTAAATTACTATATTAAAATAAGGTTTCCGGATATATTTTGAGGGCCACTTGTCGCTAAATGTTGTTTTAAGTTTCATGTTATTAAATATGTTAATTTTACTACATGTTAACAACTTAGACATTAAAATAAGGTAAGATAATATAAAAGGGTGAAAAAGGATGTCAAAAATAGTGTAGAAATGATTTAGGTATTTATAGGAAAAAAAAATTAGAATTTTTAATTTTTTTTTAATGTCGTCTTAATAAAAAAGGCTACATGATGTGAGCTAGCAGTACAACTGAGCCTAACTTTCAAGGCAAGCTGGCTAGCTATGTTTACCCAGCCCTCTTGCCATTTGGCTATATTTTGGCTTGGTGGGTCCTAAATTTTTTTGACCAAGTCTTCCATTGGAGATGGATTTTGTATCAAAACGGGCTATGTTTTGACCTATAGCCCTTTGACCAGCTCGGTTGGAGATGACCTTATGTTAGGATGGTTAGGTTTAGGTTTTTTTCCATGATAGGTTGAAAACCTAATCTAACACCTATATAAATAAGGGTGTGATATACACGCACCCCATTTTACTTCTCACACACCTTTTTAATTTTCGACCGTTGGATTGGATGAATTGAACAAAATCAACGGACATAAATTATCAAGGGGTGTGTGAGAAGTAAAATGGGATGTGTGGATAGCACACCCCTATAAATTATCAAGGGGTGTGTGAGAAGTAAAATGGGATGTGTGGATAGCACACCCCTATAAATAAGGCCCCCTCACCAGCAATGAGTTTCAATTTTCTGAAGCTACTTTGTGTGTGGTTTCTATTATTGATTGACATGTGTTAAGTTTATAACAACAAAATTAAGGAGGATTAAATTTATTAACACGTATCAATCAATGATAGATGTCACAAAAAGACCATATACAAAATGGATGCAAAATATTTGTAACTCGCTTGCCAACCGCACCACATTTTTATTATCCCAATATTGTAGCGTGTAAATACTAAATAGTGAGGATTAAGTTTACTGCATATTGGTTGCGGCGTCTGTACCTGCTAGTGTCTTATGTTGGGTACTGTCAATCTGAAAGAATTAAAAGACTGTCACGCGACGATATAATCCTTACACATTCTTTAATGAAGTTTATAATGTCAATCCAATTAAAGTATGCATATTAGTACTGTTAAGTGCATGTGCCTAGGCTTGCAAGTGAATGGCAAAAAGCTGCTAATCTCAATAAGTTGGCAGCATCATTGAAAGTGCTTTTAAAGTAAGCTAAAAGATAAAAGTGATTACAGAGGGTAACATCATGGTTCCACTTAAAAGGATTCGAGTACTAACAGTACGTAATAAAGGTATCGTAGCTCGTGGCTGGTGGCCCTCTTTAGATAAAATTGTCATTTACTTCCAACTCATTCTTCTTAGCTTTTTCCTGCAAACGCATATTTTTCACTAATTTAGGATTAGGAAAATGTTGGGGAGTTACCAAAATCTCACTTGTGTTGGACAATCAGACATGGGTTGGATCAAAACATATAGAATTATAATCCTTTTAAATTACGAGTAAACTATAGTCTTATTCCTCAACTATCATTTCTTTTAAAATAAACTTTTAAGATAAAGTTTCGTCAAATTGAGTCACGTGACTTGCATGTGACTCATTTGTTAAGATAATGTCATCTTTGCATTGTGCATCTTGGATAAATTAGCTTGGTTCTTGGATAGATATGCTATCGAGTCTTGGGCGTTAGGGTCTTGGGTTTGCGTTTCAATGCCGAAGTCTCTAGTTTGTGTCTTAGGTTTTGGTGTCTTCGTCTCTTTAGCATCCGCAACTCTGGAAGTTGAATATCCAGCGTTAGGTTCTGCACTCTCGGTTATTAGATTTTTCAGGCCAAGTTCAAGGCTTCGTGATACCATTCAAGTCTCCGACTCGTGAGTCCCTAGATTGAGTCTCGAGTGCCAGGCCTTTGGTCCAGGGTCACAAGGAAGTCGAGGCTTGGGAGCAAGCAATAATTTTATATTAAAATGTTATTTTTAAGAGTTGAACTTGAAATTTCTCATTTATAAGAAAACAAAGAATACTACTAAGTCATATCGCTGTTTACTTTTGTAGATTAAACATAAATTAAATAAAATGATAAATTATCCCACGCACCAAACGAGCCTAACAATACCAACTGTGTTTGAAGTAGATTGAGTAGCACGCACCAAAAAGGGCGAGTGGAAAATGCAAATACAAAACTGCCCTCTCTTTTTATAAGCACTTGTTTCTATTTACTTCTATCCCTCATTTCATTATGCTCTGCTTCAACCAAACATAAGCTTACTTTTGCTTCTCTCCAAAAGCAGAGCAAACCAAAAACAGGGGAAGCTCAGAGGTTCATAACACACAGATGGGCCGGCTCGCACCGTTGTCGGAAGAGCCAATCATCAACGGAGAAGGGGCCGCGAACCGGTCGAGCAAAGGCATTCTGCGGAGCACTCAGCCGTGGCGGAACTGGATCAAGACCCACCTTTCTCCCCTCGTGCTCTTCCACAAGAGGTCCGACTTCAAAGTGCTTCTCAGCGTTCTGGGTTGCCCTCTCTTCCCTGTCTCTGCTCTCCCCAAACTACCCCTCAATGAGGTACTCATCCCTTCATTTTTTGTAATTAGTTATCATGATTTGATCATGAGTACATAATGTGTTTGGATCATTTGGTACCTCGGTATGCATAACAGAGTATCTAGTTTTTCTTGTTTAGTATTTTTTAATACAAACGATACTGGAGAAGGAGAAATCAAGTACGTAACTTAAGGTGTTAAAATAATCGTTCTTAACCAAATAAGTTAAAAGTCGGATTAACTTATTTACATTGTTGATTAAACATAATTGATCACTTCTCTAATACAAATGGGTTCCACATATAAGTGCGAAAGCGGTCATCGATATGATTAATATAACTGATATTTAACAGGATGTAATCAAATGCATAATCAATCATAAGTAGAACGGTTCATAATCACTTAAGTTACAAACCAGTTGTGTTTTTCTTTTAACATGATTTTTTTTTTTTTTTTTGGTTTAAAAGTTTTATTGGGTTTACTTTGGTTGAGGGAGAGTGGGTTCCCATGCATGTGAGAAAATAACGACTGGCTATGGGCTAAAGAGAGAGCAAAGTGGTGGTGTTATGGGTCTTCTTTTGGTTTGTGTTTTTGCTCAGCTTTTTTGGCAAGTTGCTTCCCACACTTATTCCCACCATGAAAAAAGGAAGCACCTTTAATTTTGGTTGAAATTTAATATTTTTCTAATACAACGATATATTTTACATTAAAAAAAGGAGGAAATTCGGCTAAGTCACACAATGACAACCCAATTTAGTATCGAATTCGCTAGTCAACATTCAAATCTAAGATCTCTCACTTACAAATGCAGAAAATTACCACTAGATCGTAGTACTGAATGACTGTATGAAATTTAATTTTTAAAAATAATTAACATGTACTTAAAAAAAAAAAAAATCTTAAACAATAAACAAATTCATGAAGTTTTTATTATCCTCTCATTATTTACTTATTTTTTAATGATTTTCTTAAGCAGGTGTCTTCTACTGCAGAATACATCATACAACACTTCACAGCTGCCACTGGTTGTCGCAAGCTAGAAGGCAAAGTGAAGAACATATTCGCAACCGGGAAAGTGATCATGGCAATGGTGAATGATCCCGGCCCCAGTGGCAGCTCAGCTGCCGGAGCCACCACAGTTTCGGAAAAAGGATGCTTTGTGATGTGGCAGATGGTTCCTAATAAGTGGCTCATTGAGCTAGTTCTAGGTGGTCACAAGGTGGCAGCTGGTAGCGACGGCATTGTCGCTTGGCGCCACACGCCCTGGCTAGGCGCCCACGCTGCCAAAGGTGGTGTTCGTCCACTCCGGCGAGCTCTTCAGGCAAGTCCTACTTAGCTAAATATTTTTTGAGTTAGAATAAATTCATCTAAATGTCGTGGTTTGGTCCCAAAGAAAGTTGCACTGGGAAAATGTGTCTGAGGGGACCAGGGGCAAATAAATATGGAAAGGTTCCTCTCCGGATCTTTTCCACCAAATGCATCAATCCGGACCTTTGAAACTTGATTCAACAGTTAAAATTATTATAACTTAGACCCTATGTTTTTAACTGTTGGATCAAATTTTAAGAGGTCAGATTGGTGGATTTGCCGTAAAGGATCCGGAGAGGATCCCTTTCCAATAAATATAGTGTTGCTTGTTAGGTAAGCGTTAGGTAGGGTAGTATGAAAATAATGAACTTTTTGTACCAGAACTGCCATCTGCATTTGTCACACTTTAATTGAGAGAGGCCTCACCAAAATTATAGGAATAAGTTGCTAGACATTTAGCAAGAGCAAGCCAATTTCAGAGAGGGTTAGACTATGAATTTGAACTATTGATCCAATCAATTATAATTAGAATGTAGTTTCAAATCACAATTTCACAATACACACATTAGTCTGATAACATACATCTGTCAAGAAAATATTAAGTGCATCTACAGTTGAAGTGTACGAGAAAAGAAAATGAAATTGTTTATAACACTCTACAAAGTCATCCTGCGCTCCAGATGTCCTCTTCCCTAATGTAAAAGATACATACAAAAGGGTGAAGCAAAACGACTCTTTTGAAGTGCATATAACAGCTCCTAAAGAAATAAGCTCCTAAAAACATTATTTTGTCAAATTTTTTGTAGTGAAGCTAGAGTTGGCTAGTACGTAGTAGAGCAATGTACTCTTGAAAGATTGTGAATCTAGACCATTGACATCAACTTTTGTCATAATGTGTAATAATGTAGTTTAAATTCGTCTTTAGCGAGAATCGAATCTAAGACACCTCATAATGTGTAATTTAACTATACAGTTTAACAATATGTGTATTTTACTATTCAAGCGTATTCAAAACAGAAAACCACATGAAAATAGAAAAGCACATGAAAAGCAGAAGAAAATAACAGACACCAGCAAAGCACTCATCTTGTACTTAGAAGATTCCTCAAACACCATAATTGGTAGCATTGACGAGTTCCCTTTACGTTTGCGTCTTCTTCTACGTACCTAACAGATTTGTAGGGAAAATTATAAGGAAAGATCTGCAACGACCCCAAAGAAAACAGAATGGTCTCAGACCCACGATACCAATAATCCGAAATGTGCTTTTCAGGAAAAATAATGTTAGATAAATTAATTTTTTAAATTAAATCTGTAAACTATGTGATATGTTATTAATAAAAAATAAGTATGTGAATTAACACTTAATAATCTAATTATCAACAACCACGTTATATTGTTTACAAAATATGATTTAAATAAAGGGTCTTCCTAGCATTACCAAGTCAGCAATTGTACAATATGCATCGTATTAGAGTAGGTATTATTAATCTACTTATTTTTTCTATTTATTGTTTCATAGTATGTTTTTGGTGGAGTTGCATATCTAAATTACCTATTAGTAAAGGAAAATGCTATTTATATACTCATCTTTATTTCTCACACATTCTTGTTAATTTTTTTTACTATTGATATTCTTCAATTCATCCAATTCAACAGTAGAAAATGGAAATGATGTGTAAAAAATAAAAATGGTTGTGTGGGTTGCTCTAGGCTTTTTTTTTTTTTTTAATCTTCTTTATCAATAAAAAGAGAATGAAAAGAGAATTTGGTAAAATAAAATCATTGACAATAATCTAATTTTAAAAAAATAAAAAATTTCACTTTTTCTCTCTCTCTCTCTCTCTCTCTCATATCTTTCCAGCTTCTCTCTTTTCTATATATTTTGTTCTTTTAATAATTTATTTATAAGGTTAAATTCTGTTTACTATTACGAAGTTTCATGGTTTTTAACATTTAGTACATCAAGTTTCTTTTTTGTTCTAGAATCATACCTAAAGTGTTAATTGTGGGACAGTTTCATATATCCATTAATCAAACTGTTAAGTCTGCTGTTAACTAATGATATGGTGCTTATGTGGACAATGATTGAGCGATATATGTCATTAAGAGTACACGCGGATTTTTTTTTTCTTTTTTCAGAAGTGATTTAAAAAAAAAAAAAAAACCGTATTCTCCCTCCCTCGTCCCCGCACCCTCTCCCTCCCTTCTCTCTATTGCAACCTGCACCACCCTCCCTTCTCTCATCCTTCCTCCCTTATCCCTCCATTCTCTCATCTGCACTAACCCACCATGTCGCTGTTCTCGATCTCACCAAGTTTCCATCTTTCAATTCTCTTCAAGCTAGAGTTTAATCATTTTTTGCACACCACCAAGAACAAAAATTCACCAACAAATTTATCCCACCCAACGAAACAAAAAAAAAAAAATCCAAAAAACCAAAAAATAATTCAAGAAAAAGTAAAATAAAACCCAACTTGATCGAATCCCACCAAACAAATCAAACCTAACCAGATCGGGTACAACTCTAAGAAAATGGCGCGCTACAAAAGAAAAGCACATCGGGTTGGATCTGGATGCCGTCGACATCGATCTCAAGAGCGGCGATCTGGTGAACTTGTGGATCGAGTAAGACGGGTCGAGTCAGGTCATCAACGTCTCGGTTTCGTACTCGAACTTGAAACCCAAAGATTCGGGTTGCAGAAGAGAGAAGGGAGGGAGAGGGTGCGGGGGATGAGGGAGGGAGAGGGTGCGGGGATGAGGGATGGAGAGTGTGCGAGGGGATGAACCAGAAGAGAGAAGGGAGGGAGAGGGTGCGGGGGATGAGGGAGGGAGAAGGTGCGGGGATGAGGGAGGGAGAAGATGGTTTGTTCTTTTTATTTTTAACCCCTTCTGAAAAAAGAAAAAAAAATCCACGTGATCCTTAATGACACTTGTTGTCCAGTTATTGTCTACATAAGCGTCACGTCATCAGTTAACGACAGACTTAATAGTTTGACTAACGGATGTATGAGACTGTTCCAAAATTAACACTTTAGGTATGACTCTGGGATTAAAAAAACTTGATATACTAAATGTTGAAAATTATGAAAATTCATGGTAGGAAACAGTTTTTTGCCCTTATTTATGTTTACACACGTATAATATGTGGGCTTCCCATGCATGTGAGGAATTTTTCGTTCTCTACTTGTATTCATTGAGATTTTGATGTATTAAATGTTGAAAACCATAAAATTTCAGGGTAGTAAACAATATTTTGCCCTTATTTATATTTACACACGTATAATATGTGGGCTTCACATGCATGTGACGAATTTTTCTTTCTTTTACTTGCATTCATTGAGATTCATGACAAACACCAAAACCACTGAATGCGTTCATAGTCAACGAATGCAATGGTTGTTTTTTGTTTAACATAGTAACCGGCCATGTATTATCTCTTTTATGATATGTGTGCGAGCTCACCTGCATTCATTTCAATTTATGACGAACACAAAGTTATTGAATGTCTTATTTAACCTCGGTTAAACATATCCAATGATCTTTGTGCTCGTCAAAAGATTACCACAAGTAAACAGACTACGTATAATATAAGACGTTATATCAGTGATGAAATGTTTTTCTTTTTTGGTTAGTAGGGATTAGATCCAATGGCTATATCAGCTGTGTTTGCCCCAGCACAGTACATGGGAGAAAAGCAAATCACAGGCGTTGATTGCTTCGTGTTGAAATTGTCAGCCGATCAATCGGATCTGGCTGAACGAAGCGACAGCACAGCAGAGATGATCAAACATGTAATATTTGGCTACTTCAGCCAAAGAAATGGACTGCTGGTGTACTTAGAGGACTCATACTTAACCAGGATCCACTCACCTGGCGCCTACCCTACCTACTGGGAGACCACAATGTCGACGAAAATCGAGGATTACCGGACCGTGGAGGGTGTGATGATCGCGCACGCCGGTCAAACGAGCGTGATCATCACACGGTTTGGGGACAATCTAAAGACGGGGTCTGCGATCACGCGGTTGGAAGAAACATGGGCCATTGATGATGTTGCATTCAACGTCCCCGGCTTGTCCATGGATTGCTTCATTCCTCCTAAAGAAGTACAGAAAGATTACCCTAAGAAAGATTTTGATTGGAGATCACCGTTAGATTGATGATGAAATGATGGTGATGATCTTGATCAAGATTAGTTGATAACAAAAGGATTTCATTATATGTTTTGATCCATGCCTTGTGTGAACAGTTGAATATTTTTGTCTCTTCATATACAAAGTGTAGATACAGTTATTTTCATACATGCTTATGTACATCTTTGTTTTTTTTTCAAGAATTATTTAAGAGTTTGTTTGATGCCTATTTTGTTTTTAATTTTTTTTTTTTTTACTATAGAAAGTAGTAGATGGTCTATTTCTTTCGGCGATTCAATAAAATGCTTGCTCCACAAATCTCGACAGCATGTGTCGGCAACTTTGACGTTAGCATCCATTGACACTCAACAAACTCACTTGGAAGCTGTCGGCGTCTATTAATTATTTTTTGTGATGCTAAAAGTGTAGTTTTTGTTGAAATAAAAAAAAAGTTTCGATAATTTTACTCTCTAACTCCAGAGATTAGAATTCTAGTCCGTTGTTGCTTAAGAAGAACTGAACTTAAGACCTTGAGTATACGAGTAGATGTTTAGATGTAGGAAGCAATTGGTTTATTTAATGAACACTACTTGACTATTACTACGAATATGCAAATCACCGTTTAATGTATATGCAGAAAATCACCGTTTGATGTATATGTAATTAACCGAAAAAGCTTTTGTGCGGGTGGATATAGCACAAAAGCTTTGAAAGTTTGCGAGTGCGTGAAAAATGGGACTGGTCCGTTATAGCCGTTGGGCTTCGCGCCTCAAAACATTGAATTCCCAATGCAAGCCTTTCCTCTCCGCCACGTCCTCCTTCTCCTCCGGCACCACAGCCGGGAATGAGAATCCAGGTCGACCCGGACCGCCTCCGATTCAAGTCGCGCTCACAGAGTCATCCGGGCGCGGCGTCTTCGCTACCCGGAAAATCGAGAACGGCGAGCTCATACACACAGCCAAGCCCGTCCTGTCTCACCCTTCCCTCTCCACCGTCCACCGGGTCTGTTATTTTTGTCTCAGAAAGCTCAGAAACACGGACACCTCCCAACCCCAACGTGTTTCGTTTTGCAGCGACGATTGCAAAAAGAAAGCTAAGGTGGGCAGTTCGAATTTTGGGTTATGCGCACCAAGTGTTCGAGCTTTTATCTCTTAAAGAAATTGCTTAATTTGGGTTGCATTATTGTTCTTTTTTAGGGTTTTTATGATGTTGAGATGAGAGCAGATTGGTCAGTTTATGATGACTATTGCAGGTATGCTTGTTTTGCAGACAATGGAACAATATAGTTTATAGTACAGAAGTTACTCATGCTACACACTGTATTTGCAGAATTTTGTTGTTTCTACTATTTCTTTATCATGTATGTATTGTAGGAACACCATCAAGATTTCATCTTAAAGCGGTTTGTGATCTAACGGAAGTCATTAGAGAGTTTCCTTGCCTCTTTCCGGTGTCATTGGTTCTTAAGTCGACATTTTTGCCCCATTAACAGGGCTTAACAAAAACAAGAACAGCAACTGCTAATACAAATACTTTTTTAGTTGATGAGCGTCAAAACTATTTTTGTTTTAAGTATTTCACATGAAAGGGAAATAAAAATTTTGCACAAATTTGTTTTACATATTTAGTTATGCTTGGTTTTTATACCTGGTCTGACAAGTCAGAAATGCTTCTAGCTTTGATGGTGATATACGTATTAATTTGGTTACTTGTAATTGTCTCTTACTAAAGGTCCCATGGTTTGAAATACCCACTTCTTGTAAAGCGGTTGGCTTGTATGGTCATGTCGGGAGCTGCACCTGCCAATCTTCTTGACATACTCCAACCTGCTAGCTTATCCGCAGAGATGATTTCAGAGGTTAGTACATTGGCTTTATTCTATGTTGATGACGCTAGAGTTTGAACGTTGAAATGGTATCATGACTTTATTTTCTTTATATACGTTCCACTAAGTAGAAGGAGCTTTGAATTCTATTCCTGCTTCCCTAGTGAGCAAAATTCACTTACTTGTACCTGGCGTGTTTGTCATGCTTTCAGAACAATTATAGCCCTTATGTCGTAATTTTCTTGGGTTCTTTGTCTTAAGAAGAGTATCAAATATATTAAAAATTAGGGATGCATAGCTTATTCTGGTTCCTTCTTCGGGTGGTTGAAAAGCTTGAAAACTTGACAGTTTGTATTTCTTTTGATCATCAAAGTTCCCTGCCTTTTCTCTTTCTTGCTACAACTTTGTAGTAGGCATTACCAGAATAAATTACTGATTTATTTATGCATCAAGGTGACAATTTTCAGATGGAAGCGGGGTTTGGCTTGCTAAGGAGTATCTTCAGAAACTCAAATATCACGGATGAACAGATGTCATGTATCCTTCAACTGACTGAAAATTAATATTGCTTTCCATCTTAGTTTTCAGATCATGTGTACTTGGCATCAGCATTTGGGAGAATACTTTTCTTTGACATTAGAAGTTTTAACTAAGCAATGGTATATTGGCATACTGGCACGCATTCGCATTAATGCATTTCGAATTGAGTTGGTTGGGGGACTGTATGATGATCTCCTGTCATCCGCAGCAGCATCTATAGATGCTGAAGCTGCTGTCGGGAATGCTGTTTATATCCTTCCATCGTTCTATAATCATGATTGTGGTAAGCTCTTCTTGTCTTCTGCTTCTGCACTATTTTGGTAAAACTTTTCTCCCTCCGTTATTTTAATTATTTGAAATTGCAACTTTTCTCGGGAGAGGGAATATGGAAATTAAGAACTAAACCATAAGTGTTTTGGGCATATTCAGCTTAGGCTTAGCACATGGGGTTATCACAAAAGCAATGAAAGTTCTAGGTCCAGTTAGTATCTTCCAGATGTTAATCTAATTTAGTCAAGATGTTAAATGAAATTTAATTTTACATGATATAAGACATTGAATAAAGTAGTTCGCACGGTAGGAGAAGCTGATAATTGTGCATATGTTCCCGTAGACACCTGTACGGCTCTATCATCCACCTCATGTCTGCTTTGAGAAATTTGAATCAGCTGTTATTTATTTTTTACCTTCAGATCCAAATGCCCACATTATATGGATAGAGAACACAGATGCAAGATTGAAGGCCCTACGCAATGTGGATGCAGGTATGTGTATTGTGCAATAGTTTCTCTTTTGATAATGCTAAAGAACTACTTGCATTAATAGAAAACCAAATTCTTAAGCATAATGAAGATAGTCACAAATAAGAAATAAATATTGCAAGGAAAGAAACAGAAAGAAAAAAAAAATCCTTAAATTCCCAAATCTTAGCTTCCAAGAGTGCCATGGATGCTTAGCCAACCAATGTGGCATGTGTGCTCAAGATTTCCCCTCACGTGGACCCTTCAGGCTGTCATATGCCTGGAGAAGTGGTTTCTCATTTGGGTATGTGTAGTCTTCATTAAGGTGACCTAAACTTATTTTTGTAGCCAAATTTTTTTTTAGGTGGACCGGACAGGCTGAATAGTACATAAAACTATATTCGACATTTAGCCCAACCAACTATAGGACTCCTGTTTGCTTCGTTTTTGGAAAGGAAGGTTGTTTTCACTTCTTGTTGCATTAAGTGGTTACAACCATATATACATGTTGCAGCTGGTTGTTTACTATCGAACACTACAGTGAATGATTAAATTACTGTACGACAATCCTAGAATACCTTGGAGTGGAGGATGATGGCTGATCTCGAAGGGTGACTGTGGGCCTTGGTTTAAGTGATCTATCATTTCATGGACTTTCTGCATTTTGTATATACTGTATAGTTGTAAGTTGTAGCCGTTCTCAATGAAATAAAGTAAAAACAATTCTATTCTCCACAAACCAAGTTCTTTCTTCTTTCTATAGGTCCAAGGGCACCAGTCTCTTCATAAGTAGTCTTTACATCCCCACATTCATTATCTTCATCATATGCAATACCTGTTCCGCCATCTTAAATTCTTAATGTTATCAACGTTGGCTATTAATTTAGGGTCCCCATCTTTTGGTGAATAGCGTTTGCGTCTGGCAGACACTCATTAATAAAATACCTCTCCCCATCCCACAATCTTAATGTTAACAGCATATGCATGTAATGCTAAGAGTCAAGCCAATGGAAAGTAATGTATCGAAGCTGTTGCTTCAAAAACACTTATTTTGTGATAACCATATAACATTGGAAATTGATTGAGCTACACGAGAGGTATAGTCTATTAGCGTACCATATATGAGTTTGGGGCTAGGTAGATATGGTAAAGACGTGTTTATGCAAAATACTACATAGGGTCAGTAAAAAGTACGTTATTGGGTGTTTTCCGTTTTCAGGTGAAGAGCTCCGGATCTGCTACATCGATGCAAGCATGGATCATGGTGCCCGGCAGAGTATACTGTCCCAGGGGTTTGGTTTTCAGTGCAGTTGCCTTCGGTGTCTGTCCGGTGATTAATGGTGTTTCTTGCATCTGCCATAAAATTCGCTTCAAGATAGTTTGTTGATTGGTTTCATATTTAGTTTTTGGTTTCAAAGCCATATTTTTGGGCCAACCTTTTTATAACCCCCCATGTTAGATGCCCTGAAAATTTAATGGTCTAATAAGTTTGGGATGCAATGACAACATGATAATTAATAATTCAGCACTCTATTTTAGGACTTACATGTAATGGATTTACCGTCATCGTAACATTATGTTCTAATAACACATGACATGTATAAGTTTCTCAACACATGACATTGAATTATTGATCACAACGCCACTTGACGATAAATCTGTTTCATACAAGGCTTTTATTTTAGATGCCTAAATCCAACATTGACATGCTTGAAAGCGCCTATGTACCGAGTGTTCTTGCACGTTGCATGTGGTTAGAGAAGTATTTAAAAATTTATGTGTGTTTTTGTGCGCTTCATATTCGAAAGTGGATTTTGAGCAACTTGAGTTTAGCAATCAAAACTCCACTAAAACTCTTGTTCTTCACATGAGTTGTTATGCCGAATCAGTCGCTTAATATCCTTGGCCTCTACCTTCTCAAAGAAATTGTGACACTCTTGCGCAGGTTGTCTAGTAAGGTATTGGGATAAATCCTATAACAAGAATTCTCCTAAAAAGAAAAAACAAACAAACAAAAAGGGAAACGAGAAAGTGGTTTTTGACGATATTCTCTATACTAAGGGGATGGGGAGTACAGAAAAGTAACGCGAAAAATAAATAGCGTAAAAGTTGCGTTTGCCGGGAGTCGAACCCGGGTCTATTGCTTGGAAGGCAATTATCCTAACCGTTGGACTACAAACGCTTGAGGTAACAATCCAGCACATTCTCGAGTTATAAATAAATCATGCTTTTCTTTTTTTTTGTTGTTGGATTTCATGGCTAACTAGTTACATATTGTATTATGGAAAAGAAAAATTGACATGCAACGCCGATTGAGCACGACGATCATTTAGTCTTGGTAAAATTTAGTCTTTATTTTGCTTTGTATGCCATTCTTTTTAGATAAATAATATATAATGTTGAATGAGATTTATAGGCTTTGTTCACCAAAATTCAGAGATGATTAACTTAAGAACAAATTTTAAAATCGATTGTAATCCAAGTGGTTGTTTGGCAATAAAAACACTAACTATGTCTCTCTAATAGGTAATTATCAACTGACATACTCATAATTAGAGAACAATCGCACACAATAGACGGCTGACCTACTTCTCATTGTTCCATCCACACCCTTTTTGACCCTAGATTATTTTGGGGGTTAAAATCACAAATGGTCATAAAAACCCCACCTCACCCAAAGAACCACTAATAAAAAACAAGAATTCTCCTAAAAAGAAAAAACAAACAAACAAAAAGGGAAACGAGAAAGTGGTTTTTGAACAACCTGAGTTTAGCAAATGAAAACTCCACTAAAACTTTTGTTGTTAACATGAGTTGTTATTACTGAATTAGTCGCTCAAAATGAATAAATCCTACAATGAGAATTCTCCTAAAAGGAGAAAACAAACAAACAATATTCATATTGGCTGCGTAAGGATTATTTTGGATATGCAAGATTTTAAACAATATTCATGTTGGCTGCGTAAGGATTATTTTGGATATGCGAGATTTTTTTTTTTTTTTTGAATAGATGATATTCTCTACACTAAGGCCTCGTTTGGCAGCTCGGATTGTACTGATTATTTCTGTCGGATAGGATAAATAGCCACCAGATAGTACTGACTAAATTAATTGGGTGTTTGGTGCAGTATCGGACTAATAACCGTATTATTTATACTGTGTTTGGTATTGAACGGATAAGAAAGGGGAAGAAAAAAAAATTGACAAATCTTTGTTTCTTTGTTTGTTGAGATCCGAGACGGATCGCCGAAGAGTCTGCGGTGGAGGAAACAGAGAGAGATGCAGCGGTGGAGAAGAGGGAGGGAACTCCTACAGTAGACAGAAGAAGATGCAGGAAGAGAACCGAAGAGTCTGCGGTGGAGGAAGTAGAGAGAGATGCAACGACGGAGAAAGATGCAGCGGCGGAGAAGAGGGAGGGAGATCCTGCGGTAGCTAGAAGAAGATGCAGGGAGAGAAAAGTCTTGTTCTGGGTGGTTGGATGGAACTTGCTGGTGGTGGTGGTTCATGGTGGCTGGCGAAGGAATTGGGTTTTAGGATTTGCGGGATTCTTTGGTTTCTTGGAAGCTACTTGGAATTTTGGGGAGTTTTGATTGGGAAAATGGAGGGAGTGTGGTTGGTTTTTGTAAGCAAAGACAGCGGCTGTGAAGAAGAATAGAGAGAGGGGAAACGAAGAAGAAGAACAGAGGGAGGGAGAGAGCCCCAACTAAATTGTCCCGTGGTTTTGGAGAGTATAAGAAAGCGGGTATTCACTGGATAAAATAGGTGGGTCGGATTATTTAATCCGATGGCTATTTAATACGAACGGACACCAAACACTGTACTCCGTATAATTAGTACTATCCGGTGCTTTATATGGTGTGCCAAACGAGGCCTAAGGGGATGAGGAGTAAAGAAAAGTAATGTGAAAAATAAATAGTGTAAAAGTTGCGTTTGCCGGGAGTCGAACCCGGGTCTATTGCTTGGAAGGCAATTATCCTAACCGTTGGACTACAAACGCTTGAGGTAACAATATAGCACATTCTCGACTTATAAATAAATCATGCTTTTTTTTTTGTTGTTGGATTTCATGGCTAACTAGTTACATATTGTATTATGGAAAAGAAAAATTGACATGCAACGCCGATTGAGCACGACGATCATTTAGTCTTGGTAAAATTTAGTCTTTATTTTGCTTTGTATGCTATTCTTTTCAGATAAATAATATATAATGTTGATTGAGATTTATAGGCTTTGTTCACCAAAATTCAGAGATGATTAACTTAAGAACAAAATTTAAAGTTCGATTGTCAATCCAAGTGGTTGTTTGGCAATAAAAACACTAACTATGTCTCTCTAATAGGTAATTATCAACTGATATACTCATAATTAGAGAACAATCGCACACAATAGATGGCTGGCCTACTTTTCATTGTTCCATCCACACCCTTTTTGACCCTAGATTATTTTGGGGGTTAAAATCATAAATGGTCATAAAAACCCCACCCCACCTAAGAACCACTAATAAAAAACATAATGGGGGAGATGCCAAGAGAGTTCCCGCCAACTTTGCCGTTGGCAAAAAAATGTGTGAAAGGGTGGCATAAAAAGAGTCCTCCCTCTTGTGCCAAAATCCTCCCTAACAAAATGACCTAACTCCCATCTCACTCCTACCTCCACCCTTCCTTTCTCTCTCTAGAATATCAAGTGTACAAAAACCAAATCCAAACTACCAATCTTTTTACCTCATAAAAACCTTAGGTAGTTTACTTGCTTCTTTTTCTCTTTTGGGATAGGAAGTGTTTAGCTAGGGTTTCAACCCAACCATGCATTTTTTACTGCAACAACTTTTGTTTGTTATCTTTTTTTTTTTTTCCTCTTTCATTTGATTAATTTGTGTTTTTCTTTCTTTTTTTCAGTTTTCTTGGCAGTGATGGGAGCTGTGTTCCTCAACTCTTTCTCACCGCCGTCAGCAGTTGCGCCGGATAAAGTCTTGAGAGTGTGTGATGATCATAAGAGGAATTGGTGCTTGTTGAAGAGAAAAAGGAGTGTGGTTTTGTGTCAGGGGTCAAGTAGTGGCAATGTTGTAAAGACTGGCGGGTTTTCTTACGCAGCCGTGATGGATGCCGGAAGCCTGGTCTTAACTCCGAATGACCAGAAGAGCTCGAAAGAGAGTAACATCGCGGTGAAGGATTTGATGCCTTTTGGCGGATCATCATCAACTCCATCCACCTCTTTGGTTGACATGCATGACGGCATTGGAATTGTAAAATTTTTTAGAGGAAAGGGGTTTATCATAACTGGTGCAACCGGGTTTCTAGCAAAAGGTAAAAATAGTTACTAGACAAACCGAAAATGTGTCTTTGATCATTCTTTTGATCAACAAGTAATTTCGACGAAAACTGCATGAATATAGTAAAGACCCTTTTGATGTGTTGCATAAGTTTCTGTTCTTTTTCTTAAGAACATCCAGTTCTTATCGAGAAGATATTGAGGACAGCGCCGGATGTGGGGAAGATATTTCTCTTGATCAAGGCAAAAAACAAGGAAGCTGCAATGGAGAGATTAAAAACTGAAGTATATGTTCTCTAATCTATTCATATTTCTTCTATTTCCTGCCTCTTACCTTCAATTCTGATGTGTGTGCTGTTGTCGTTGCGCAGATCATAAATGCAGAGCTGTTCAAGTGCCTAAGACAAACTTACGGAAAATCTTATCAATCCTTCATGTTGAGCAAGCTGGTTCCTGTGGTTGGAAATGTATGTGAATCAGATCTTGGCATAGAAGATGATGTAGCCGGTTTGATTTCGAAAGAAGTTGATGTAATTGTAAATTCTGCAGCCAACACAACGTTTCATGAAAGATTAGACGGCTTTTTACCTCCGGAAGTTTCTCACTCTTCACTACATGTATATGAATTTCTCCGAATTTTTTTCTTTCTGATTATGATGGATTTCCATACCATTCAGCTTTGCAGATATGATGTAGCTGTAGATATAAACACAAAAGGACCTTGTCACCTTATGGCCTTCGGAAAGAAGTGCAAGAAACTTAAGCTTTTCCTGCAAGTTTCAACCGGTAAGTAACAGAAAGCTGTGATATGCTTCTACGAAACTGCTTTTTCCAACTCTAATTTTACTTAAAAACTGATGCTTTTGTCCTCTCATTTTCAGCTTCTGTTAATGGACAAAGGCAAGGGAGAATTATGGAGAAGCCATTTTGTATTGGCGAAAGCATAGCAGGCGAAAAACACAAATCTGAAACCCCACCAGGATTTTATCCCCTTGATGTCGAAAATGAAATAAATTTGACTTTAAATTCCAAGGGAGCTTATGAAAACAATGAGGTTGCTCAAAAGATGAAAGAGTTGGGTTTAGAAAGGTAATGGCTTCACCTTTTTACCATGACAAAACTAGGATCTGAATCACATTGATTATTGTTTTAACACGACGAAACAATCATCTTATCAGGGCACGAAAGTACGGATGGCAAGATACGTATGTGTTCACCAAGGCTATGGGAGAAATGATGATTAATAACATGAGAGGTGAAACACCGGTAGTCATAATCCGGCCTTAGTGTCATCGAAAGCACTTGCAAAGAGCCATTTCCTGGTTGGATGGAAGGAAATAGGTACATCTTAAGTGTGTATTTTACTTGAAACAGAAATTTCATCTAAATTTTTCAGATTTACATCAGCTTTGAAATAATCCTCTACTGTCCCAATTTTCGCAGGATGATGGATCCGATTGTTTTGCACTACGGAAAAGGGCAGCTCACAGGTTTTCTAGTTGATCCAAACGGAGTACTCGATGTGGTAATTACTTGCTTTTATTTCTTCCATTTGGCTGTTCGGCATCGTTATGTTGGCTTTATGACATTGACATGGAAAAATATGTAGCAGAAAAGTATGCAGCACCTATATATACACGTGTATATGTATATGAGTGTATCGCGTGTTTATTCACTGAATTGTAGCTGCATTGTTGGCATGACTGCTAGCAGGTTCCAGCAGACATGGTTGCCAACGCAATATTGGCGGCAATTGCAAATCATGGAATGGCTCAGAAACAAGAAATCAACATCTACCAGATAACTTCATCAGTTGCAAACCCTTTAGATTTCCAAGAACTGAGTGAACTGCTCTATGAGCATTACAATTCCTCGCCGTGCATGGACGTGAAGGGCAGGCCAATCCAAGTTCCATCGATGAAGCTCTTCAGCTCAATGGAGGATTTCTCTGCCCACATTTGGAGAGACGCCCTCTGGCGAAGCGGGTTGACAGCGTTGTCTTCGTCAAACGGGAAGCTGTCTCAGAAGCTGGAAATGATCTGCAGAAAATCAGTTGAGCAAGCAAAGTACTTGGCTGGCATTTATGAGCCATATACTTTCTATGGTGGAAGGTATGGTATTGCATTGCACTGTGGAACATATCATTGTGGCTCTCCATTTAAATATTTTGAAATAAGCAATAGTCGAAACTACTCTTATTTATGAAGCGGGGATCAAACTCGGGTGCAAGAGGGGCACGTTCCAAGCGGCCCAACCCACTTCTACACGTCTTTCATTTAAATTTAAGATCAAATAGACCTGGATTTATTCAAGTTGGCTAGAGCAGTATACTCTGACATTTCCATCGTAATTTAGGTTAGATTAAAATATCGCCCGAATAAACGAAAAACATGTGAATTTGAATTCATTGATTGGTGCAGGTTTGACAACAGCAACATTGGGAGACTGATGGAGAGGACGTCAGAAAAAGAAAAGAGGAAGTTTGGGTTTGATGTTGGAAGCATAGATTGGAAGGACTATATTACAAATGTTCATATTCCTGGACTTAAGAGGCATGTCTTGAAGGGCAGAGGAGGTTTGTAGTTGAAACAAAATGCTTCCCACCCCTGTGGCCCTAATTAAATTATCTCAAGTCATGCAACTAATTTGTAATAAGCCAAATATTATTTTCCATTTTTCATTAAACTTCTATGATACAAGAAAGAAATATAAATATTCAATCATAATTTTTGGCCTGACCGTCTCACTGCGAGCGATATTATATTATAGAGGTTATATATACTATTGATGCTGTGTAAAATTTTTAAGATCTTGGATTTATACGCACATATTAATGTTGTGTTAAATATTTAAGATTTTGAATTTATACACGCAGACAATCATCAATATAATTTTTACAATGTAATGTATTTGAATTTATACACGCAGACGATCATCAATATGATATTTTAATTCACAACCTTCCTGCAATGAGCGGAGACCAAATGATTATTGATCGGAATGATTGAATTATTGCTACTGCAATCTTCCAAAATAAGTTATAATTCCAGTTTTTGGGCCCTCTAGCTCATGAGTTACGAGGAATATTGTTCAGAACATAAGACTCCACACTAATAGTTTTAGGTTTTGGAATCAATGGCAAACCAACAACATTTTCACACCATTTTTAATGGATAATACTTGCACCCTTTCGTGGGAAAGTACATATTTCACGATTTGTGAATAACGTATTTTTATTACAAATAGTCCTTAAGATTGACTTAAGTCAACAAAATGATCTCTCACTTTCAAAATCAATCAATGTAGCGTCAAATAATTGGTTGTGCGGACTTCAATATGCCACATCAACAAATTAATAGAAAATTTAACGGATTTTATCGATAATTGTGTAACACATAATGTCAATAACAACACTGATTGATTGTGAAACTGAGGGACCTTTTTGATAACTTAAGTCAATCTAAAGGTCCATTTGTAATAAATACCCTTTCTTTATTGATCTTGCAATATTTGGTTTTGGAAAGTGGTACGTAATTTCCTGAGCGGCAGACATTTCTCCGGCAGTCAAAATCTAACGACAACTGTCCAACGAACAAACCAGGCAGACAAATAAGACTTCATACTATTAAACGTTATTTATTATTTATTGTTTTAATATTGAACATCGCGACCATATATTGACATCAAACTAATCTTTTTTATGTTGCATCGAATCAAATGGGACGTGTTTTTCAACAAAGGATATGATTCACATTAAGGGATAAGAGAGTAGGCTAAGCTTCATAATGAGTCAACAATAATGTAATGCGAATTCATTTTTGACGAGAGTCGAATCTAAGATCTCTGAGTAAAGAGATATAGTATTAAATTATAGTAATAAGTGACCACATAAAATATATTTTTGACGTTCTCTAATTAAACGGTGCATCAAAACAGAGCCGGTAATCTCAGAAAATAAATTCGGGAGAGTTTTTTAATATCCATATATATTAAAAAATTATTTTGCCAACAAGTCCAAGTCCTAGTATTTGATTTTCCATTTTTGTTATCTTTGATTTTCCATTTTTGTTATCTTTGATTTGAACAAAAAAGAAAGGTTCGGTTTTCTTTGTTTTCTGCGTCTCTCATAGCCTCCTCCTTGTTCTTCTCTCTGAGACAGAAACACGGAGAGAGAGAGAGAGGAGAGAGAAGAAGGGAATGGAGAGCATAGCAGTGTGGCAAGGGGCAACACTCTGCGGGATTGTGTCATGGGTGATAGTAGTTTCATATCTCGATGTGACTCGAAAGCTTCGATCTTTCCTGCAACCATGGGTGGCCCACCATGTCACCGCCGGCACTCCTCTCATCCTCCAGATCCAGGTTCCACACCGTCAAATCCAACCCGACTCAGATGATCATTTTTGTTCAATTCCATGAAATTTCAATTTTTATTTGACTTTTTGAATTTTTTGAATTTGGGTTTTTGTTGGGTTTTTGCAGAACTACCAGCATAGATCCTTGGATTCTTTCTTCTCTGCCTTGTCCTGTGTTGTTTCTGTGCCGTTTTACACTGCTTTTCTTCCTTTGCTTTTCTGGGTAAGCTTTTTGTTCTCACTTCAATGGTGAATTTTAGTTCCTGTGATTGTTTTTATGTCATTTTTTAGCTGTATGTTTGTTGTATTAACCGAAATTCTGGGAATTTCTTGTCATTGTTGCTTTTCGTTGACGGTTTTTAGAGCGGTCATGGCAAATTGGCAAGACAAATGACTCTGTTGATGGCTTTCTGTGATTATATGGGGAACTGCATAAAAGTAACCACTTCTTCCTTACTGTTTAGTTTTTATAATTGGTTAAGTGATTTCGGGTTTCAAGTTACATATTTTTCGTCTTTTTGTGTTTATAGGATGTGGTATCAGCTCCTAGACCTTGTTGCCCACCTGTTAGAAGAATAACCGCTACGAAAGATGAGGAAGATAATGCTTTGGAATATGGATTGCCATCTTCTCACACTCTAAACACGGTGTGCTTATCCGGGTAACTACTTTTCTTCTTGTCCGTGCAGCTTGTTTTTCAAGCATAAACTTTGAGGCAGAGCTAATGATAAATTGTTTTAATTTTAGTTCAAGATTATAAACTGCGTGCTGCTTGCTCATGAAGGTCTTGATTTTGAACATATATTCTGAATGAACCGGGATACATGGTTCACGCTTATTTTGCCAAACTCTTGATTTCTCAAGTTGAGGCAATTACTGTCGTGTATGTACTAACCGTTTGCTCTTCGGTTAGGTGTTTCCAGATTCCTTTTGCATTACATCCTATCCTATACTCAGAATGAAGATGCCCATGTTAAAATTGCTGGATTCGCTCTTGTTTGCTTGCTTGTGGGTTTCATTGGTTTAGGTGAGTTTATCATTTTCTATGAGTTGTTTGACAGCTTCTTTATATTTATTGTTTAATCTCGAACCTAACTTGTGTTTTATTGATAGGAAGAATTTTTCTCGGCATGCACAGTCCTATTGATATCATAAGTGGGCTTGCTATTGGACTGGTGATTCTTTGGTTCTGGCTCAGTGTTTACAAATACGTTGACAGTTTTGTAGTCTCGGGACAAAATGGTAAGCACACTACAAGTCATTTAACTCATATATTGTGGTCGAAACAACCTAGAGCACAAACCTAAGCTTTTAAAGAACTTAACAATGCAAGAAGTTTGCAACAGTCAGGTGTGAGCCCAAAGGTGGTATGCATACAGGATATATACAGATATGACCATTGCACGCTCTCTTAGGATTGAAATAAGCATGGAACTCGGTCTGATGCATCCGACATGGATAAAAGGTTTCTAGAAATGCTTTCAGTATCATGTTAAAGCAAGGATGGGACAAAATCTTCCATCTAATGCAGGAGAACCGCCCTTTAGAAATGGGGCCTCTTTTTGTGATGCACCGAAGTTGTACTATCAAACGAGTATTGTGAATCAGGTTCAGATTAAAGAAGAATGCAGAAATATGAACCTTTTTGGACATATTTTGCGATAAGTAGAACGGGGTTGTACCTCAACACTCTTGGAATGCAATGAGAAATCATTTATGGAAATTACAACTTGACAAGTCTCTATGTATTCTTAATGCACATTGTTTGTATTGCAGTAACATCCTTTTGGGCTGGCCTAAGCTTGATACTGCTTTTTGCTTATCCAACTCCTGAGTTTCCGACTCCAAGTTTTGAGTACCACACAGCCTTCAATGGCGTTGCATTAGGAATTGTAAGTAATCAATGATCCCTTAACATCAGACGTTGCTAAATTTGCATATTCATTTACTATTACACAAGCTTTATCTTAAATCAGGCAAACTTTATATTATCCTGTTAATACTAGTTAATCTCCAATCTTATATTCATGAAAATTTTTCTGTCCAAGTTTATTTTCCGTTCCTCATAAGTTGCACCAAAAACAACAATGTTATCCAGGTGTCTGGGGTCCAGCAGACGTACCATCAGTTCCACCATGAAGCCGTTCCACGTGTATTTACATCACAATTAACCGTCCCTGGCTTTATGGGAAGAATGCTTGTGGGAATACCAACCATACTTATCGTGAAGTTCTGCAGCAAAGCTCTTGCTAAATGGATTCTTCCAGTGCTAGCCAACACCTTGGGCATCCCAATAAGATCAACCACTTACATCGCGTCGCTAAGGGGATCAGATGATGGCAAAAAATCAGATGGCTTGAAGCAATCAGGTTATGTCCAAAAACTGTTCTTTTTCTCCGGCCAAGAATCGTTTGACGTTGATACTGGTATAAGATTCCTTCAATATGCAGGGCTGGCATGGTCCGTCGTTGATCTTGTTCCTTCCCTTTTCTCTCATCTACGATTGTAGTGCTTCATTATTCATATTATTAGAATATGCACGTACAAATTTTGCTACCTGTCCAGTTTGTAAAAAGATTATGTTTGCAGTAATGAACCAAATCGATTTTGCTATTTCCGGGGAAACCCTTCTGCAGTTACATGAATTTGTTTGTATTACTGTTAGGATAATTCCTCCACCCACTTCCGGGTATCTTGTTTTTGTTATTACAGGCGATCGTTGGGAGAGGGGAATCAAGCTTCGAGACGTGTGCATGCAAGGACAAATACTCTTAACTACTCGAACTAAAAGTTTCTTACGGTGTTGACAGCAATAGTGGGCGAGGAGAGTATCAAACCTAAAACCTCGGGTGACCAAACAAACTACGATCCCCTTGTGGGGTTGGCTATCTTCAGACGATAGCAAAGTAGTCGGTGTTGATGCCTTCCTCGCAATGCCATACAGCCATGCAGTGATCCCAAAACTCAAAGCTCTTAGTTCGACACACTTGGTATCCTTCAAAGTTCGAAGTTCAGAATATGCATATACAAGCACTTGGCTTTTCTCAAGACAAGATCCCGCGTTCTTGTTCAAGTGGGTGAGCATTACAGAACCATCCCATCGCATTGCGATACATTGAGGAATCGAATAAAAGAGCAAAAACATCCACTAATAATAAAGTTCCATGATCCCCATGGGGAGGGTGAGCAAAACGTACGAGGACGAAAAAGAAATACAAAACCAATAAGAAT